GTTCGAAAGTAGATAGTCATACCTTTCAAATAGTGGCTCAATCTTAAAATTTGGTAACCAAATTGCTGAGAATCAGTTATGTATTTTGCTCGGAATAGTTCCAATCGGGTTTCTACCTGTTCCAAATCAAAGCTTGAAAGTTTAGAATCGTGACTGAATCATAACGATTGATCATCGTATTGTTGATAACCAGCCATGTGAACCATGAATCGACACGCAGTTTGCAGCCTTGGTACTTTGAGGAAGTTTTGATGCCGTGGGGATCTATCAGTTAATGCAGTATATTTGGTAACAGGTCCAGTAGGGATGCTTGTTCGATACTCACCGACCAAGCTCTTATCTTTGATTTCATCCTCGTAGCGGCGTACCACCGCATTGTACTTCCAGTACGCATCAATGTAGGCAGTCTTAATGTTATCGAACTGCGTTCTTCGCACGAGATTCACCAAGCCCTCTTCCTCTTCCGTGTCATCGTTCTGTTGCTGCTGCTTCAGTTTGTCCAGATCCTCCTGCAGTCGTTTGACGGCATTGAAGATTTTGAAGCACAAGTTGGCGTTCTCATCTAGCCTTTGACTGACATTGACCGAACCGGTGTCGTCGTTGTCGTTCTCATCAGCGAAAAGGTTCACCTCTATGTCGAGGATGTTCTGCTGCAAGTCATCAATCCACCTCGAGATTTCTGAAAACTACAACGGATTTGAATATCATAGTTTGAATGCCCATGTCGGAACCACCTACTTGCTTCAGATCCTGCAAGATCTGCTTCTGATTGTGCAGTATCTTGAGATCATGCTTCTGAACGAAGGTGTCTTCCCAGTCCTTGAATTCACTTTTCTAAAATAAGCACACCGGTGTGTGTAGGTAGTCATTTAATTTTTTTTTTTTTTTTTTTAGTTGACCTCTAGTAACTCGTTCAATCGATCTTTGACCATCTTCGGCGCAATTTCGGACATCGGCGTCAGTTAACACCCAGACCAAGTCTAGACTACCCACTCTCACGATCTGCAACCGACTGTTCTGGCAAGTGCTTTGCGGTTTCTTGGAACGCAATGGCATGGTTTAAAAATTCTTTGGATACATTCTTACACAGTTCGAAAAACTAGTGAAAATTTCATCAACGTTGGAATTCATCATAAAATATTTGTATGAAAACATAAATCTTGTTAATATGTTGTAAGCAATAAAATCCATATTCTCCTGCCCGGTAGTTCACGCCAAATGTAGTATTCAAAACTTTTTACTGTGCATTTTCACATGATGAACGATATTAGCCACATGTTGGGCATATATAATAGCGCGAAATGAAACTGTTCTGCCCTCTATCACATCAATACGCAACGCTGATAGCTATAGATGAATCAAAAGTGTGCGTTGAAAACGAAAAATTCTCGCATAACTATTCAAAACGTCCGATGTAATGTATCGACTCGCTTCTACACTTCCCCTTATTTGTTTGCTTTGCTAGGTCAAATCAGTCTCCACAGCTAGGATTTTGATGAGTGAAACTTAGAACAAGTGACCGAAAGACACAAAGTCTGTGAAGAGAACCTATCGAACACACATTGGACGATTTGAAGAGCTCGGCTGGATATGGAATGAGCGAAGAATGCTGAAAGAATTATGTACGATCTATTAATAATTTGGTCTCGGACTGAACGGTTTGCATTTGGGGAAAAAATATCAAATAGGGTAGAGCGCTACTTCATCGTAATCGCCCATTTCCGTTCTATCGATCAGAAAAGATCAATAATATCAATGAGTTCACCGTGTACAAATCAATAATAGGTTTGTTCAGATGCGTTAGTTCATTAGCTACAACATAAATCCTATTATAGCGCAAACAAAAGAAGCGCTCCCTGTGAATCCCCTTTTTCTACGTTTATCCGTAGGACGAAGAAAATCTAATGGCGTTTCAATGCGTTAGGGCGGAATTGAAACTCGTAAGACGAATTTAGAATCAAGCAGCTTTTAAACAATATCTCAACAATTTGTGACTCTTTATCGAATCCAGCTGTACGTATGGAAAGGTGAATAAATTTAGAAGTCATCATTCACAGAAATATTCAATTTTTTGTTCAACCCCGTTCTTAGTAGGACGAAAATTAGATCAAAAACCCTATCAAATAACCCTAAATACGGAACGTCGGCATTTTTTTTTTGTAATCTTGCTTTCGGCTGTATTGGCACCCTGATCTTCTGATGGTAATAAATCAATCAACTACAATCTTATAAAAGCAAATGTTTGCACTTCACCAGTGGTTTAACAGAGTTTGATCAATGTCATATGTCACCGAAGTTGAAAATGTGTGTCTTATCTTTTTGTCCATACGATCAATATCACTATCAATTCCATAGCAAAACGATATAGTGGTTCTCAGAATTTCGTAACAATTGGTAGTTTTGTTCCTTATCAAAAAATATTAGACCCATATTTTTTTTTTATTTTCTCATTAGAGTGACCATTTCCATGTTAGGGTGGTCAAAAAAAACGATTTTTTTTCTATTTTTTCCAAAAATGGCATATTTTAAAATTATAACTTTTGAACCATTGAACCGATTTGAATGATTAAAATATCAAATGAAATGTTATTAAAAATGCTTTTCAGAAAAAATATAAAAATTTCGAAAATTGGAGTTTTGTATAGATGAACTTTGATTGTATTTGTTTTTTATGGTTTTCATGGTTTGTAGACAATGGCCGTAACATGTTTTTATATATATTTTTTTTTTTAAATTTAGGCTTTGTTTCACAACATATCAAAAAATCTGCGATGTAGTTTTCTTCGTTTTTGAGTTACGATTTTTTGAAATTATCATGTTTAGAAATTTCGCTCATTACTCCAATACGACTAGATTACCCTGGGTCTCCATTGGTACATAGCTGACATAGTCACATAATCCATATCAATTTTCTGCTTCTGCTTTTATAGGCTTGTTTATTCAAAGTGAATACTTCACCAAGTAAATAGCTACCTAGACAGAGTACATGCTAAAATCATACGGAAAACTTGGCACCCGAAGAGCCCACCGCTGGACCATCCGGAGTTCCTGCTGTCAACAGCCAAGGTGAATATTGTATTTAAAAAAATGTATTTACATTGGTAGCCATGAGTCAAACGAGCATGACGTCACATTATAGCATTCTGAAAACTTTGTCACGTCAGGCTCAAATGTAGTGTAGTCTGAAAAGTATTTTTAATAACCTTTCATTTGATATTTTAATCATTCAAATCGGTTCAATGGTTCAAAAGTTATGATTTTTAAAAAATGCCATTTTTGGAAAAAATAGAAAAAACTCGATTTTTTTGCCCATCCTAACATGCAAATGGTCACTCTAATGAGAAAATAAAAAAAAAATATGGGTCTAATATTTTTCGATAAGGAACAAAGCTACCAATTGTTACGAAATTCTCGTTTTGCTATGGAATGACTGAATATCGATATGTAAACAGAAATCAAACTGTGATGTTCACGGACACAATGCAACCATTCTAGTATTGTCCTAAATTTTTGGTGACAATTTTGTGACACACAAATTTACAACGCATTCCAGTTTAAACTTGATTCTTCCATTTTTTTTTCAGTCAAACAGATAAAGTTTGACATCTTCAAGGGGTAATCAACTCTGCACACTGTGCCAAAGCACATCGTAGCACACTGATCGGCACGTTAGGATACACGATGAAAAGTGTGCAATACGGGTAAATTTTAAATTCGTTGATGAACAATCTCAGCGGTTTGGGCCTCCTGTTTATTAGGGTGTTCAAAAGTTCAAAGTCATGGAAAATCACAGTCGTTTGACTATCTCACCATAAATTGTATAGCTCAGTTAGACGAATTCAGTACTCAACAGCGACTGCTGGCATTGGGAAGCTACTGAAGGTCTATTGCTACTTCTACTATTGCCGGTGGGAATTTTTAGTTGAATCCTTCCTGATTGCCCGAGTAGCATGATGATACTGTGCACGGTCTTCTGCTCATTCCCGCTTCGGACGGCGTGGCAAGCAGCAAGCAGGAGCAAGAGGTGGATTTCCTCCCTCTCTCTCTGCCGTCATGCTGAACATTCTCGCAGGCCGAGAAGGGAAATTACAGGTGGGCAGGAACTCACGGTCCCCCAGTGTTGGTGAGTTCTGTGCCGTTAATATTCACGAAAAGTTCACTATTTTGCCATACAGAATTTCGAAACAAAAATTTTTATCTGCGGATTTGGACAGTTTTTGACCTGTTTCATACAACCGGAAGGTGTATGCTGGTCACAAATGCCGTGCCAAACTGATTTCCTACGCAATTAATCAATCTTTGATGTGAATTTCGCTAATAAACACGAGGAGCATTTCTTATAGCAAACTTGCCATAACAAAATGGGCATGGTTCATTTTAGTAAACACTTCTTCCGACTGTGTCACCTCTCTTACTCGCCTAAGCCCCGCTCTGCTATCAATTTTTCATCAGTGCATGAACTCAAATCCATCGGTGCAGTGGTCCATAGTGACAAAAAAAAAACATGTGAATGGAAGATATTTTTTCTTTCTTTGATTTGTTTTCCGTCGTGATCAGAGATGTTATGCCTCAGAACATCCCGGCGGCGCCGACTGTGATTGAACCCAGACCTGCTGGGGTGAGAGGCAATCACGCTTACCAACACACCACCGGCGTCGCTGGAAGATGAATAATAATTTAATTATTAAACATTTTACGTGTAATCTTCACGTGAGACAAGCTTTAAGTATATATTTTCATTTTCCGCCTTATAGGGGAAATGGATGTAATGTCGGCCTAAATGCCCCTAATTTGGGCCGATACATAAATTCAGCAATCGACTAAATTTTCAATAGCGACCAAAAATGTCCATAAGTACCGTCCCAGTGACGTGTTCATCTAGATAAAATTGATAAATAGCAGATTTTTAGCGATGGGCCCAATCTTAGATCCATAGGCCAACATTAGAGCCATTCCACCTAGATCGGATTTCTTTCCCACATAAAACAACGCCATTTGCTTCAAAGCAGGAATATCTTTACTGCCATACACACCGCAATCATTATCAATATCGCCAGCACAACCGACAAACAGTCGGTCATACTGAAGCAGAGCCATTTGTATTTGTTCGACCGGGTGTAGTACTTTCGAGCCTGCTTGATATCCTCTGCCGCTTTGGCCACATGTTCCGAGGCCACCTGAACGTACCCCTCGGCCAAATTCAGTATACTACCGTGGTCCATCACCAGGGTTGAGAACAGGACGAACAGGTCCCGCATTTCGAGCAAGGATTGTTCCACCGATACCAGCTCCTGGTGCCGATCCACAACGGCGTCCAGAGTGCCACGAGTCTCGTCAACGGTGGCGAATGTTTGAAGATGGTTGAGGTTATCCTGATCAGGCAGCATTGGATCCGAGGTGTTGTCGTCGTCACCGCATGGCGGTGGTAGAGTGGTGAGGTCCTCGGTCGATGACACTGACATAAGAGAAGATTGTAACAAGCAAATATACTACATTAACATAGCTCACTTTTATTTATTTATTTATTTATTTAATTGATTCCATCAACAGGCTTCAATAAGCCCCAATGATGTTAAGTAATACAAAAAACAACATGATTGTCTGTGCTTAAAACATAAACATTACACTGCTATTCACGGTTACCTGTGCCCGAAAATATCGAGGTGAAACTACGGCAAAGCGTCTGACGTGGTACGTGAAAATCGAACACTGAGGCAACTCTGTTGAAAACTCGCTGCAGTCCGTTTATTGCTCCATTCATTCCGTAGTTCGTGCGACGAAAGGGAAGTCTCAGCATAAGACTGTTTCTTAGTGCACGTGGTCGTACATTCAAATCGATTTTTTCGAGGATAGTAGGACAATCGATTCTCCCTTGCAATGTATCGGCAACAAGTAAAGCCCTTGCAGCGTCTCTTCGGGTCGAAAGAGTTTCCAAACCAATCAGCTGACATCGGCTTTCATAGCTAGGCAAACGGAAAGGATCTCTCCAAGGCAATCGCCGAAGGGCGAAGCGTAAGAATCGGTGCTGGACTGATTGATTTGTTTTTCTGGAGACACGATTTTTAACCAACAAGGGCGCCTTTGCGTCATAAAAGGTAACTAATGTAATTTATCAACAAAACGAGGGATGCTTCAAAGCTTAAGAGAGTTTTAAAACAAACCTTGTTTAAAGAATTAATTTAGTATTCCCATAGCTCATCTGCAGGCTTACGCAATGTGAACACGATTTTTCATTGATTGTACTTAATGTAAACGAATAAGATTTTTCATGGGTAACAATTGCAACCCACTCACCCCTCCACTGTAATCAAATGCAGGTTGTGTCACACGGTAAATAGCGTAAACACAGTAAAAATACACATTTTTTATATTTACATGCACACACACTCTGAACCTTGACAGCCCTACCAAAGATCGCATTAGACTCCGTGACACCATTCGTAGGCAGTACCAGCGTACTAGCCTGCCTAACTTGAAGACCAATTGTAATCGATTAACAAAGATCATGCAGGCCAGGATGGTGGATCTCAGAAATAACGATTTTGCTAGTAAGATCCGCTCTCTTCCAGATTATGCTAAGCCCTTCTGGAAACTTACAAAAATTCTTAAAAACAAGCCTAGGCCCATTCCACCACCACTGACCCCACTGGATCGTCCCGGCGACCCAGTGGTTCACTTCGTCAGCTCCCATAATCTCGGACAAATCATCGTCAGCCCTCATGAATCTGAGGTTGCTGAAAATGCAACCAATCTTCTTCAGATTCCTAACATTTTTCCAGAGGAATCCGAGATTACGGCTGACGAACTGTTGGCCTATATCAAATCATCTAAAAACATGAAGGCCCCAGGTTTCGACAACATCCTGAATCTGGAACTCAAACACTTGAGGTCCAGATTCTACAACCATCTGGCACTGATTTTTAATCAGTGCCTCAGACTTGGCTACTTCCCCTCGTGTTGGAAGTCAGCTAAAGTCATACCCATCCGGAAACCTGGGAAGGATCCGTCCTCTCCTTCAAGTTATCGACCGGCTCCTAACATCTGCCGATGAAAACAACTTGTTGCTCGATTAACAGTTTGGTTTTCGGAAAGGTCGTTCGACCGTCCACCAGCTGACTCGAGTAACAAACATTCTCAGACGGAACAAGTCTGTTTCGAAAACATCTGCCATGGCGTTGTTGGACGTTGAAAAAGCATTCGACAATGTCTGGCATGATGACCTGGTGTGCAAATTGCAGCAGTACGGTCTTCCAATCTTCCTACATGTTGGAGCCGACTAGGCCCTTTGTGAAACAACAGAGATAGATAGGAAAACCTAGCAACACTGGACGAGCAGAAATAGTTAGTTAAGAACGAGAGTCGGTCGTGACGACACCATGTGCGCGTGTGCAGAGCGAGGTTCGGAGATAAAGCGTGGTTGTGTGGAGAGCAATTCTGTGCGTACTTATTTCGTGGATCCGACATATTTGGCGACGACGGGATAAACCGTAAAGACGGCTTGAAGTGAATTTCTGCTTTTTTGGTGGAAATAGACGTTGTAAAGTGAATCAGTTTGTATATTACGGCACTGATGCTAAATGCTAGACTGAACAAAAGGTGGTCGCCATTTTGAACGGGCGGAAAAAAATCGCGAAGAGCAACAGGCTGAGCTGAAATTTGGGGCTCGGGCTGCGAGCGTAAGTGAAAAAAAAGAGAAACAGGTTGGTTCAAAAAAATTAAAGGTTTTTGGTGTGCATTCCCAGTGTCGATAATAATATTGAAAAAAAATAAGTGCGGGCCATTTTTTATCTAAAAGCCAATGAAAAAGGGAAGAAACGGGGAAAACAAAAATGAAATGCGGACGCCGGAAAAAAAAATCGTCCTTTGAGAGGTTATGATGCTGATAGATTGTGGCTGAATTGTGAAAAGCAGAAGGGTGATTTTGTAGCATGGAAAAAAACAAAATGGCAGTATACCTGAGAAAATTCTGATTACTGAGAGTGTATAGGTGAATTTTCGAGTAACAAAAAGGAAAGAGAGAGAGAGGAAAAAAACGTGGTTTTGTACCGTATGAAAACAAAATGGATGTGTTCCTGGGAAGTTTTCGATTACTATGAGTGTGGTGGTGTTGATGGAGGTCGAAAAGGATGTGTATCTAGAATAGAATAGAAGTAAAGAGAGTGAGAAACAGGATCGTGGTTTTCGTGCCTTTTGAAAACAAATTGGATGTGTTTCAACATAAAAAGAAGATTTTCTGTGGAGGAAATGATAAGTAGCAAAACGGCTGACGCATCAGCCGAGCAAATGAGAAGAGAGATGCACGCCTTATTACGAGGTAATTGGAATGGTTGGTTGTGTACCAAGGAGATTTAAATAAAATAATAAGGAGATGGTTGTGTACCACAGTGAAATGGAAGATGGTTATGTACCACTACTATGTGAATGGAGATGGTTTTGTACCACAGTGAAAAGGAAGACGGTTATGTACCGAATATTATGTGAATAAAGAGAAGGTTGTGTACCACTACCTATAGTAGAAGGGCTGTGTGCCAAAGAGAAAAAAAAATAATAGCATTGGTTGAGTACCAAAATGAGGAATAGTTATGTACTAAGGCAAATGAAATGGTTTCGTGACAATATGGAATTATGATCAGTAAGTATACTTTTGAGTGTAAAAGGCATATTCTTGAATGGATTTTGGATCTGGTGCCACAGAGTACATCATTATTATGGTACCGATCCATGAAAGATGACAGGAACTACCGGGGTAAGTCAAGCGGTGCTACGCGAATCACATCCTCTGCCTCTGGTCGATGAGCTGCTTGGGTCTGTTTGCGGAGCCGTACGATTTTCCAAAATTGATATCAAAGACGCCTACCATCAGGTCGAGATCTCGGAACGGTCAAGACCAATAACAACGTTCATTACCAAACAGGGTCTCTTCAGGTAGACATATTGATTGAATAAAGTGGTGTTCGCAGTTGCGAACAATTAATTATGTGCTTTCTTATTTATTTATATTTTTAAATATTTTATCATTTAGGTACAAACGGCTCATGTTCGGAGTAAGTTGTGCACCCGAACTTTTTCAAAAGGTAATGGAGTCAATTGTTGCGGGTTTGGACGGCGTCATCGTGTATTTGGATGATGTCTTCATTCACGGCACATCCGTTGAAGAACATGATCGAAGGCTGGCTGCAGTTCTTAAGAGATTTTCTGATTATGACATCCTGCTTAATGAAAAGAAGTGCGTATACGGTGCTGATAGTTTAGAATTTCTGGGTCACCATCTGTCAGTCCAAGGTGTTAGGCCGACCGAAAGTAGAATTACGGCTATACAAAGTTTCAGGGAACCACGCAATTTATCTGAGTTGAGGAGTTTTCTGGGATTGGTTTGTTATGTGGGTAGGTTTGTTCCAAACCTGGCTTCGCTAACTGATCCTCTGCGACTGCTCCTTCGATCAAAAGGACAGTTTGAGTGGACATCAAAGCAAACTTCGGCTTTTCAGCGGATTAAAGATGAAATCTGTAAAATTCATCATCTGGGTTTTTTCAATCCAAAGGATCAGACAAAATTAATAACCGATGCTAGCCCAACCGGGCTTGGTGCAGTACTTCTGCAGGAAGATTCCCAAGGTAGATGCAGAGTAATCGCCTATGCCAGCAAGGCACTAACAGAATTGGAAAGAAAATATTTTCAGACAGAACGAGAAGCTTTATCGCTAGTATGGGGAGTGGAAAAATTCCGCCTGTATCTTTTGGGAATCAAATTCACTCTGCTAACCGACTGTAAAGCCCTGAAGTTTCTGTTCAATCCAAGGTCTAGACCATGTGCTCGGATTGAACGATGGGTTCTCAGGCTTCAAGGGTACACATTCAAAGTAGAACACATTCCTGGACCTGACAACATAGCTGATGCACTATCGAGGTTGAGTATACCAGATTCTGAAATGTTTGATGAATCATCCGAAGGCTACATTCGGAGCATCGTTGCAGAAGCAGTACCAGTAGCAATAACGATAGAAAAGGTTATTGAAGAGTCCAAGAATGACGAAGAAATTCAAGAAGCTCTTGTGGCATTACAAGCGGGAACTTTGGAGAAAATTCCGAAAGCATTCAAACCCTATGTGAATGAGTTATGCTCAATGGACGGAGTACTCTTGCTGATATAGGCTGCAATAGGCTGATCATCCCGGCGCAGCTTCAAGAACGAGTAATAACGGTGGCACATGAAGCGCATCCAGGCATGGCAGCGATGAAACGACGTTTGCGACAGAAAGTTTGGTGGCCACTAATGGACAAACAGGTGGAAGCTTGTGTAAAGCGATGCAAAGAGTGTACCCTGGTTTCCCGTCTAGGAGCTCCTGAACCCCTGAAGCGTATTAAAATGCCCGAAAAACCATGGGCGAGTATAGCTGTTGATTTTATGGGTCCTCTACCTTCGGGTCATTCACTGTTTGTGATAGTCGACTACTT